GGGAGTTCTATTGTTAGTTTCCTGAGGAACCTCCACACTGTTTTCCAGAGGGGCTGCACCAGTTTACATTCCCACCAACAGTGTAGGAGGGTGCCCGTTTCTCCACATCCTCGCCAGCATCTAGAGTTCTCTGATTTGCTCATTTTAGCCACTCTGACTGGCGTGAGGTGGTATCTCAGTGTGGTTTTGATTTGGATTTCCCTGATGAGGAGGGATGCTGAGCATCGTTTGATGTGTCTGTTGGCCATCTGGATGTCCTCTTTGAAGAAGTGTCTGTTCATATCTTCTGCTCATTTCTTCACTGGGTTGTTTGTTTTTCGGGTGTGGAGTTTGGTGAGTTCCTTATAGATTTTGGATATTAACCCTTTGTCTGATATGTCATTTGCAACTATCTTTTCCCATTCGATTTCTTCACTAGTTATGGGTCTGTTCAGATGTTCTATCTCTTCCTGTGTGAATTTTGGTAGTGAGTGTGTGTTTAGGAATTTGTCCATTTCTTGTAAGTTGGCATATAGTTTTTCATAGTATCCCCTGAGAATTGCTTGTATTTCTGAGGGGTTGGTTGTAATAAGTCCATGTTCATCCATGATTTTGTCTATTTGGGTGCTCTCTCTTTTCTTTTGGAGAAGCCTGGCTAGAGGTTTGTCAATTTTGTTTTTCTTTTGGAGAAGCCTGGCTAGAGGTTTGTCAATTTTGTTTTTCTTTTGGAGAAGCCTGGCTAGAGGTTTGTCAGTTTTGTTTATTTTTTCAAAAAACCAACTTTTGGTTTCATTGATCTGTTCAATTGTTTCTTTGGTCTCTATGTTGTTTATTTCTGCTCTGATTTTTACTATTTCTCTTCTACTGTGTTTGGGGCTCTCTTGTTTCTCTGCCTCTATATCCTTTAGATGAGCTGTTAGATTTTGCACTTGAGCTTTTTCTATTTCTTGAAATAGGCCTAGAGTACAATGTACTTTCCTCTTAGGACTGCCTTTGCCTCATCCCATAGAGTTTGGATTGTTGTATTTTCATTTTCATTTGTTTCCATATATTTTTAAATTTCTTCTCTAATTGCCTGATTGGCCCATTCATTCTTTAGTAGGGTGTTCTTTAACCTCCATGTTTTGGGAGGTTTTCCAGACTTCCTCCTGTGATTGATTTCAAGTTTCAAAGCATTATGATCTGAAAGTGTGCATGGTATCATCTCTATTCTTTTACATTATGTCACAGTATGTGATCTAGAAAAGATCTTTATTTTACATGAGAGTACAAAATATGAGGATAATGCTTCTCTCTATTGTACCATTAGCAGTTGCTGATACAGGAAGAGTTTTCATCTTCTTTGCTAATTCAGTGCCTTGTTCTCTTTTACAGAACTCTCAGTGACTACAACTTTCCACAGTTTCCAGAGACCTTGCATTATCTCTACAAGCTCTCAGTGGAAGGTCCTAGACGGTCAGAAGAGAGTGTCATCACAGTAATTTTCCTCACTGAAGTGAGTTTTATTGCGAGATTGTGAACAACCAGGTTCCCTTTCCTTATGCAAACTTAAGTCAACACTCCAATCTTTTATCTCCCTCTCTGAATATTGATTCTTATCAAGGGTTAAGACAATGACAGATAACTTTTGTCATATCCTAGGAGATGTGGATTGGCAAAGACTCAATTATTTTTGTAGTTCATATATCTCTGCATGCTTGTTAAAGCATAACATGGGATAATTGAGTTTAATTAAAAATAGCAGGTAACATCTGGGAAATGAATGACACTTCAGACTGTCTAGAGGGGAAAAAAAAAAAGGAATGGTCCAAATAACTGAGTAAAATGAAGAGATAGTACTGCATTAATTTGTATATAAATATTATAGCATATATTGTAATGCTATACTAGAGTCAAATTGAGAAAGTCCTTTTTCTTACAAAAGTCAGGTAGAAAGTTCTATAAATTGAAATTATTCTAGTCAAATATAATTTTTCCATAGAGGTTATATATAATAAAGTATTGATCTAAGGCACCATGCCAAATATTCTCAAAAATTTGATGTAATTTCAAACATCATAGTCAGTGAAACAGTTAATAAACTCTAAAATACTGTATACTATACTACCTACTTCTAATGCTTTTAGAAAGGTACATAAATCAGTTATATGAAATCACCAATGGTTTCAAACTTGCTTACTCCATTTGAATTGAATGATGAATATGATTCGTCATTTTCATTGTACTGTCCTTTAAAGATCTACAAATATTAAATAGGCCTAAATATGACACATATAATTGCTCCCATAAAATGATACATTCAAAAGAAATGTACAAATGACCTAAGATTTGTTTATATTTATGTATATAAGCATTATTACTGTGACAGATGATATTTAATGAACCCTGATTACCTCTTTAGTCATGAATATAGTGCTTATTGCTATTGGAGATTGGCATGCCTGTCCTTCCAAGAACTGAGTAATGACCACATTCTTCCACCACTTTCTCTAATTGAAGCTTCTGGGCAATCCTCAACTGTCCAGTTGACTGTGGGGTGACTTGGCCTTTAGTTGTTCTGAGCACACAATCTATGTATTCTATCTTATTTTAGTCTTGTCAGCCAGCAATACTTAACATAGTACCATCGATGCTTATGCTATTCGTTTATATATGTGATTTCTAATTTTCTACTGATCTAAGTAACAATCGAGTTTACATGGTTGTGCCTAAATCTTTCTTTTAGTATTTTAGTTTACCTCCTTCTAAGAGATTCCAAGAATATGAAATAATAACAAGAGTATAAACATTCTCAAGGCCAAGGATTTTTTATTGCCAAACTGATTTCTGGAAGGCACTGACAACCCGTGCACCCATGCAGTTTGTAGGTGTGCTCACTCCACTGCCCTCCTGCCATCATTGATTGATTAGCTTCCCAATTTCAGAGCTAGATATGATGTCTTGTGAGTGATTTGACTTGTCCTTAGTTTCTAAATTTTTAGAGAGTTTGAACATTTTAAAACTATAATTGTTCACAAATTAAATTTCTATAATCTGAACAATGCAATCTCTTCTTTGCCCATTTGCCTATTAAAGTCTTAGTGTTTTTCTCGATGAATTATGTGATTCTCTGTCGCTATCTCTCTCTTTCTCTTTCTCACAACACATACACACAGAAATTTGTGAAGGATATTAAGTATGTTATACATTTGGTTATAATGCCTGTTGAGAATAAGTGCCCAGTTTGTTGTTTGCTTTTTAATTTTGTTTATGGAATGTTATTTTTTTCATAAAAATTCAGCATTAAAAATCTACTGTGGTGAAATAGATAATAAATATTCATTTATAATTTATTCATCTTTATATAAATTTTTACATGTAATGTTGTTTCTCATGAAGTTTATATGGTATACCACAAAGTGGGATCTAACTTTAGTTTTCACTGAATAATTAACTTCCTATCCCAGCATCATTGAATGAATAAGCCTTAAATTCACTATTCACTGGTGATAATACCTTCATGAATTCTATTATTAGTTTCATATACATACACCCATACGCACACCCATAGTAGGGTATGCCCTGAATTACACTGTTAGGCTCCATTTATATTTTCACTCTTGTGGAAGTATCACAATGAAATTATGGCAGTTTGCAATAAACTTAAAAAAAACTTTGATGTTTATTTATTTCTGAGAGAGAGAGACAGACGGACAGAGCACAAGCAAGGAAGAGGCAGAGCGAAAGGGGGACACAGAATCTGAAGCAGTCTCTAGGCTCTGAGATGTCCGCACAGAGCCTGACACGGGGCTCAAATACCTGAACCATGAGATCATGACCTGAGCCAAAGCTGGGCGCTCAATCAACTGAGCCACCCAGGTGTCCCTGCAATAAACGTTAATATCTTCCAAAACAACTTTCTCTATAAACTCTCTTCAAAACGCCTTTAGCCCTTCCTATGCATGTGTCCTTCTGGTTACATTTTAAAATAATCTTGCCAGGCTCAAAGGAAAAACAATTTCACTGAAACTGTGATTGCAGTTAAATTAAAGCTATGAGCTTCTTAGGAATATTTGGGATTTTTATAATATTTTCACTTCTCTTGTTTTATTCAATATTGCATCATCTTCATATAAATATTACATATTAATTTTGGAACTCTTACTTAATTTATATTATTTTAAATTGTTAGTGAAAATGTGTCTTCTTTGTTTTGGTTCTCAAACTTATCCTTATTAAATATCACTTTGGGTATAGGTTTTTGTGTTTGTTTTGTATTTTGAGATAGCCACCACACAATATTACAGTAGGTTCAGGTGTACAGCATAGTGATTCAACAACTCTATATGTTATGCTGTGCTCACAACACGTGTAGCTACTGTCACCACGCAACACTATTGCAATACCACTGACTGTGTCACCAATGCTGTATCTATTATTCCCGTGTTTTATTCATTCTGTAACTGGAAGCCTGTATCTCCCACTCTCTTCCACTCATTTTGCCTATCCCTCTCTTCCATCAGTTTGTTCTCTGTATTTATGAACCGTATTCTGCTTTTTATTTGTTTATTCATTTGTTCTGCTTTTTTTAGTTTCCACATATAAGTGAAATTATATGGTATTTTTCTTTCTCTGTCTGATTTACTCCAGTCAGCATTAACCCCTTTAGGTCCATCCATGTTGTTGCAAATGGCAACATCTCATCTTTTTACGGTTGAATAACATTCCACTGTGTATGTACCACATCTTCTTTACCTTTTCATCTATGGATGGACACTTGGACTGCTTCCATATCTTGACTAATGTAAATAAGACTGCAATAAACAGAGGGGTGCATGTATCTTCTTGAATGAGTATTTTTGTTTTCTTTGGGCAAATACCCAGTAGTGGAATTTTTGGATCATATGGTATTTCTATTTTTAATTTTTTGAGGAACTTCCATACTGTTTTCCCAAATGTGGCCTTTTTCTTTCAATTTTCAAGCTCATTATTGCTGGATGTTCAGGGAAATTAGACTGTATTGTCTCAAATTCAGCTACTTTCTTATGCCCTAATAGTAATTCTAATAGTATTTTTGTTAATTTTATTGGATTTTCTCAGTATGTGATACTGATGTATGGAAAAATAAGGATACCATATTGTTACCTCGGTTCAAGTTACTTTCCTGAATCATGTATTATTGCATTGGCCTGTTTTATGAATAATCGGACCTCTCTTTTGCCTATTATGATCTTAGTGTTTTTCTCAGAGAGTTGGATAATTCTTTGTCTCTGTCTCTCTCCCTCAAATACACACATTTGTGAGGGATATAAGGTAACTTATGGACATGTGTTTTGACTATACATCCTTAGTGAAATATATTCTAAGGACAAAAAAAAGTATAAAAAATACTCACTTTTACTCAAGATGTTTATTGATATTGTATATTGATGATATAATTTTAAGACTATGGTATGCATTATATAGCAGAAAACAAATAGGAACATATATTAATACTATTGGCACCAAGTTTTTCCAGGTAAGAGAAAGATAAGGCACACATAAAGCCATAAAAAGCTAACATAAACTCTGTTATATTAGATTTGAACTGAACAAATCAACATTGTCAAAATGAACTCATGGCTAAAAAAAAGAATAGATCTTGGTTCAAAAAAAGGCCACAAAGGTGATAATCCAATAGCAATTAGTACTCTTTAGTATCCATTTCTAATGTTTGCTAAATATCATTACTTGTTAAAAGGAACCCTCTCTCCTTGAAGAAATGGCTGATTTCAGGGGGCAAGAAAAATATAAGACAAGCCAGAAACATCTAGCTTTTCCACAAGCCAAGAAGTGTACAAAGATAGATAAGGCAGGTCAAAAGGACACCAGAGTCAACTTGAAAGGGCTCTTACTGGCCAAAATTTATCATCAAAGGAGTAACTGCAAATAATTGTAATATGTTGGGGGAAAATTTTTTAATGCTTGAGTCTTTGGTGGTACTCAAAATTGGAGATCTGGAAAAAAGAGAGGGAGAGAGAAAGAGGCCAACCAGTAAATATAGAGGGAATGCTACATGTGGGAAATTACCACTTTGCAAGTCCCAATGAGACAACTAAATATTCAAAGACAAAATTATCAATGAATTTTAAAACCATTAGGTGAAAGGCTGTTGGAGAACAACATTCAAATAGTACCAAATTATCACCCACATATGAGTTATTAATTATAAATGGAAAATATGCCTTTATGTTTTGATGTGTGGTGATCACTCAAAAAGAATTAACTTTGATCCTATTTAGGAATAACACATCAATAACTAGTAGTCTTCCATTGTTTCTAATTTATTTCAATTTCTCTAATTTTCTTTGCCTCATGACTAGGATGAAGCTCCAGTATATGTAATATAGAAAAGTGGTCCCAGGGGCACCTGGGTGGCTCAGTCCATTCAGTGTCCAACTTCAGCTCAGGTCATGATTTCGCCATTCATGAGTTTCACCCTGCATCAGGTTCTCCAATCTTAGCACAGAGCCCACTTCGAATTCTCTTTCTCCCCTCTCTTTATGTCCCTCCCCCACTCATACTCGCTCTTTATCTCTCTCCCTCTCTTTCTCTCTCAAATAAATAAACATTACAAAAAAGGAAGAAGAAGGGAAAAGCTGTCACAGAGCATCCTAGTGCACATCATTGGTTAAGAACAAACTGAGAACAAACTGAGGACTGATGGGGGGGAGGGAGAAGGTGGGCATGGAGGAGGGCACTTGTGGGGATGAGCACTGGGTGCTATATGGAAACCAACTTGACAATAAACTATTTGTAAAAAAATAATAAATAAATAAATAAATAAAATTTTTAAAAAAGAACCATTGACACAGAGATTATCCAATATTCTCTTTAAATTTTAATCTATTTCACACCCCTTTTCTCACTGCTCATTTTATTTGTACTTTTTAATATGATATTGGTCAAAAATTTTCTATTATAATGCTTTATTTTTCCCCTAGCATAGCTGTTAGATGGTTTAAGTCTACTGTTTCGTGTTTCCCGATTCTATAACCCCTGCTTCTCTCTTTATTCTTTTCTTACACCAATTTTCTTTAGCATGTCCTTATTTCTTGTGATATTTTACTTCTCATACTTTCAGGAAATAAATAATTTATTCATTTTTAACCTTTCTTTTCAAGCAAAGTCAAGTTGTGCATTTCCTTCCAACCATCATGCACAGATCTATTTTATTTTTATTGCTTTCATTGTCCCACAGTAATCTTTGTCGTATGTTAGAGTTCCTCTGTGGTTTACAATTTTGATCTACAAAAGGGAGAATTCTTTTAAATTTCCAAATGCTTATAGGCTTTTTTCTTCCATTTAAACTTTCTTCTTAGTTTCTTCTTCTCTTCTATACATCATGGTTTTTTAAAGGTGCTTTTTAAATCATTTGTTTTAGGAAAGTTATTAATTTCTTTTGATCTGATAATTTCTGTGAAAGTTGTTTGGAATGTTGAAAAGAATATATGGCCTCTCCTCCCCTCTCACTTTTGTTCTCTTGCTCTCTATTTTTCTATGTACTTGACCTGTCCTAGTCATATTTTAAATTCTTGAACTATTTTTTGTTAAACTGTCACTTGTGTTTTTAAGACATTTAAAAAATATGTATATTTTGTCTGCTAATTACTAGATGTATAAAGGTTCATGGTAATCACATCTTCATTTTGGGTATTAGGTGTTAAAGATTAAAACTCCATAAACTGGCCTCCACATCCCTGCCTGCCCTCCCACCTCACTACCTTCCAGTCTTCTCTTCCCTTCTCATCCTTTCACTCTGGGCTTCCAGATGTTCACACACACCTTGCTCATCTACCACAGGACCTTTGCACATGGGTTACCTTCCTTGGGGTTATCTTCTCCAAACACTTTATCTAGCTAATGCCAACTCTGCTTTCAAGTCCAAATCTAAACAACAATTTCCATTCTAATTTCAGCCTACAAATGCACAATCTAAATTCAGTTCCCCTTTAAATGTTTTTGTGACACCTTGTAGCTTTTCTTTCTAATACTGATCACAATTAGCAATTCTATTTTCATTGGTATAGTATCATATTTCCTATAGTGTAGTATAGCATTGTTGTACAACATCAGCCTCTCTTGCTAGTCTGTAAGCTCCACAAGGTCATAGATTGAGACTGTTTTGCTCACTACTGTATCCCCATTTACTAGCATAGTGCCTGGCCTATGGTACACACAGCCTCTGAGTATATATAACCATTCTCTGTTAAAGAACTCACCCACTGAACTACAATCTGGGAGGGGGGGGTAATTTAAATTGAGTCACTAAGTTCCTGAGAATAGAGAGAAATTTTTTTTCAATATATATATTTAACTCCTAACAACGTGAGAGTTGGGACACAGATCCCCATGCCATCAGAAATCCACATATAGCTTTGACTCCCCCTCTGACACCATAACCACTGATAGCCTACTGTTGATCAGAAGCCTTTCCAATAACATAAACCATCAATTAACACATATTCTGTATGTTATATGCATTATATATTGTATTCTTACAATAAAGTAAGCTAGAGAAAAGAAAATTGTGTTTGTAAAAAATTGTAAGGAAAAGGAATTACATTTATAGTGCTGTGGTGTAAAAAAAATTGCATATAAATGGACCCATACAGTTGAAACCTGTGTTGATCAAAAGTCAACTGTAGACATATACAGATATAGATATAGATACAGATATAGATGCATTTATTTTCTATTATGACTGCTACTTCTCCTTCCAGAGAACTCAAATCATGAACACAGAAATGTATGTAGGGATACATATAACCATTTGGAATCTTAGTGAGATTTATACTACAGATTTACTGAGAACATCTTGATTTTTGTGACTGAAGCAGAAATCGTGCATTGGCCTTTACCCTGTTTATGAAATTGTTGGCTGTTTTCTTTCAGCTTCTGAACAACTTCTTCAAGGACCCATTCCCAGAAGAATTTTTGGTTCTCTTCAGAAACTGGGTCAATGACTCCAATTCTACAGTTAGTAAACTGAGCCTCCAGAAAATTGCCAACATGGCGCCAGTTATCAATGAGGTAAACATGAGTGTGTGTGTGTGTGTGTGTGTGTGTGTGTGTGTGTGTGTGTGTGAGATTTGTGAATGCCATCATCATCAAAGTCAACCTGAGATTCAATATTGCTCAATATCCTTACTGATAAAACAATGATATTTTTCAGTTTCTAAACCTAAACCAGTATCAAAGCCTGATGTTTTATCAGCAAGAAAATTGGGTTGAATAGAAGTGGTGTGGTAAGTAAATTCAGTAGCATAATGACCTTGTTTATACTTTTCCCACAAAATCATTCATGGCCCTCAGAATTGGTGAGCATTGTCCTCCACAAACTTTTCTTACAGTCAAAACCATGTACACATTAAGTTAATTTCCCTCCAACATATACATGTGCCACACATTAAGTCCTATCTTGGAGCACTTGCTCGAGGTATTTCTTACACACTTCACAGCGTGTTCCTCTCCCACCCGTACATACTCACATTTGTCTTCTTTTTCAGCTCAGGGTCTGCTGAATATTCTGACCTGGCAGCAGTATCCTTCTCAGAGTCCCACCAACTATGAGCACTTGTTTACACAATATTTTATATCAATAATTCTCTACGGGGCACCTGGGTGGTTCGGTCAGTTAAGCATCTGACTGTTGATTTTGGCTTGGGTCGTAATCTCACTGTTGGTGAGTTCAAGGCCTCACTGTTGGCGAGTTCTGTGCTGACACAGGAGAGCCTGCTTGGGATTCTCTCTCTCCCTCACTCTCTGCCCCTCTCCAACTCTCTTGCTGTCTCTCAAAATAAATAAATAAAATTAAAAAAATAATTCTCTATGTATGACTCTTGAACCAGCAGTACCAGCGTCTCCCAGAAACTTGTTAGAAATGCAAATTGTCAGGGGCGCCTGGATGGATCAGTCGGTTAACCGTCTGACTTCAGCTCAGGTCATGATCTCACAGTTCGTGGGTTCGAGCCCCTCATCGGGCTCTGTGCTGACAGCCAGCTCAGAGCCTGGAGCCTGTTTCAGATTCTGTGTCTCCCTCTCTGACCCTCCCCTGCTCACGCTATCTGTCTCTCTCAGAAAGAAATAAAAACATTAAAAAATTAAAAAAAAAAAAAAAAGAAATGCGAATTGTCAGGCCCCACCCCAGGCCTTTGGAATCAGGAATCCCGGAAGTGGGGCCCACCGACCTATGTTTTTGAAAGTTTTCCAAGTGATTCTAATACAGTTTAAACTTGAGAACCACCGTCTTACACTGTTTCCTACAGAATCATGTGAATACTTATTGCTTTCCAGGAAGATTGAATCTAAACATACCCTTATGTTTTGTAATTCTTATAAATTCTTTTTGTTAAAGTTTTTATTTAAATTCAAGTTAGTTAACATACAGTGTAATATTACTTTCATATGTACAATTTAGTGGCTCAGCACTCACATATAACACCCAGTGCTCATCACAAGTGTCCTCCTTAATCTCTACCACCTATTTCACCCATCCCAAAGTCCCTTGCATAATGGAATTATGCTGATTCCATAAATCATGGTTGATTTAACAACAAATTTAATAATATATCCTTGTTCATCTATTAAGCATAGTCTCTGAAAACCCAAAGCCTGTCAGTGGACACCCATTTTTGCATTTAGAATGAAATGAGCCATGGTCTGTTTGCTTTAAATAAATAACACATGTCAGGGTACATTCTATTAGTAATCAGAGTTATTTATTGCCTTGTCTAGCAATGTTATCAACAACTGAAAGGAAGATTCTGTGTCAAGGTTATCTAGGAGAGTAAGAAAGAAACAGTGGAGAGGGAGCTGGGTGGATATCACATACGATCTATTGATAAAGACAACTTTCTACCCAGATGTAAGGCCTCTGGCTATTTTTTTGGTAAATGGTATCTGTTTGTTTCTTTTACTTCTTTTCTTTCCAGCCTTTGTTCCTCTTTTTTGGTGTCTCTTTTTTGCCTTTCTCTTTGCTTTATAATATGCTGTCTCTGACTCCCATGCCTCGGCTCAGCAGCTCGGTGGCTTTCATGTCCACAAAACTCACTGGCACCTGGTTTAGAGGTCACACTGTTCGTGGTGTGCTGGTGAATGCTGTATGTACTCTCAATGTGCCTAATGTCAAGCTTTCAAAGGCGTGTCATTAAACAAAGAACTGGGAGAAACACACAGTAGCACATCATAATTTAATATTCCTACCATACAGATACGATAAGTGTACTTAACCTCAAGGGCATATAAGAGTAAAATGGAGCCAAAGAAATAGGAAGTGAGAAGTTTTAAGTATTTATTACCTTTGTTTTATTTCTTTATAAATTTATAAAACTTGCTTTTTAATCATGACTTTTTAAATTTGAATTCCAGTGTAGTTTACATGCAGTGTTATATTAGTTTCAGGTGCACAATATAGTGATACAACAATTCTATATGTCACCCAGGGCTCATCATGATAAGTGTGCTCTTTTTTTTTTAATTTTTAAATTTATTTTTGAGAGAGAGAGAGAGAATGAGCATGAGCGGGTGAGGGTCAGAGAGAGAGAGGGAGACACAGAATCTGAAGCAGGTTCCAGGCTCTGAGCTGTCAACACAGAGCCCAATGTGAGGCTCAAGCTCGTGAACCACAAGATCATGACTTGAGCAGAAGTCAGACATTTAACCGACTGAACCACCCAGGCACCCTGCTAAGTGTGCTTTTGAACCCCTTCACCCATTTCACCCATCTGCCCACACCCCTCTCCTCTGACAGCCATCAGGTTGTTCTCTAGAGTTAAGAGTCTGTTTTAACAATCAGCTTACAAAATTTTTCTTTTTTAATTTTTTTAATGTTTTATTTATTTTGAGAGAGGGAGACAGCATGAGCAGGGAGGGTCAGAAAGAGAGAAAGATACAGAATCCAAAGAAAGGCTCCAGACTCTGAGCTAGCTGTCAGCACAAAGCCCGACATGTGGCTCAAACCCACAAATCATGAGATAGTGACCTGAGTCGAAGTCAGATGCTCAACTGACTGAGCCACCCAGCTGCCCCTACAATCAACTTACAAAACTGTTGACAATGTGACGATTGACCTTGTGGGGGCAACCCCACCACACCCCTGCACTCTGCCCAAACTCTGCCCAAATGTTACCTCAAGTCTCCATCTCGCTCCAAAGTCCAACCATTTTCCTCTTGTATATATAGATAGAAAACGTCTGCAGCTTATTAATATGCATCTTGGATGCCTTCTTCTCAAAAGACAAGACTGTTATAATTCGGGCCTTATTCACCCTTCGAAAACTTTTAGGCAAACTGGACAAGGTGACCTACTCTTCTTTGTGTACTAGGATTGCTTCCAGCTACTGCCCTCTGATGGATCACGTGAGTTACAGTTACATATGTGACATCATTAGGTTTTATAGTTAAACTGAAGCCCCAGAAATTAGTCATTTTGTGCAAAAGCACCATTATTTCATAGAAAATTATTTTGCCAAAATTGATAGGCTCTTAATTATTCAGATTTCATGAAGAAGGGGACATATTATTAAATTATAGAAAAAGAAGAAATTCAGTGGCAAAAATTATTTTCATAAGGACATTGTAATAATAATAGTAACAATAATGGTAACTGGATTTATTGAGCATTTACTAAGTACTAGTCACTATTCTAAGGGATTTACATGGACTACCTCATATAATTCTCTAAACAACTCTATTACTATTATCCAATATCATATAAGAAAAATGAAGCAAAGAGAAATGAATATTTGGTCAAGTTCACACAACTAATAAGCAGTGGGAATGTCCATGTAAAAAAATTATTTTCAAAATGAAATCACTTGGGGAAAAAAAACCTAAACTAACTAAAAAAATAATCAAACCAAACCAAATGAAAAGAAGCAAAATCAGAGAGAAGAGAAAAGCACCAAATATCGATTTACCCTAAGTCAGCCCTTGGACATAGAGTATTTGAAAAATACTGGGTATCAATGAAACTATGACGCTATGTTTCTCCATATTAAAAGAAAAATATAATTTGCTCGAGCTTAATCTGTGGGGGATAAAACCGGAATTTCATCAGGTGTGAGACACATCAGAGCTCTTTCCAGTGGTCCAGATAAGCTTTCAATGGTTAGCGTATCTTCCTGTAGAGAAAGGATACAACAGGTAACTCACAGACGAATGCACTTTGGCGGTGTGTTAAATGTGACTTTCAAACAGTCTAAGTCCATTATTTTTAAACTGGGAGACTTCTCACAGAAATCTGAACCGTAAATGAAATACCAGAAGATTTGAGAATACTGGAACCCACAAACCCACCCGGCAACAGTCTGCAAGAGCTGGGCGGCCTCTCTGAGAGAGGCTAGAGTTCTCTCTCCATCAGCCTCCAACTCCCTGCTTTCCTTAAATGCTACCTGGTTTGCCTGTTTACATCAGCTTTCTAGCCCTGAGGACATAATTCCTTGACCATTGCTTTAGGTTTTCACTTTGATTTACATTTATTACCTCAAGAAGGAACATACAAAGCCATATTAGGCATTTGTATTTTGTTGGGAATATATCTAATATATTCCTGAGAAAAGAAAGGAAAAAACGTAATGAAATCATGAACAAAAACTGGGAAGCAATAGTATATATATATTTTTTTTGAATTTTATTTTTTTTATTTTTTTTTTTACAAATAGTTTATTCTCAAATTAGTTTCTACATAACACTCAGTGCTCATCCCCAAAGTGCCCTCCTCCATGCCCATCCCCCCATCCCCCCCACATCCATCAGTCCTCAGTTTTTGTCAGCATTCAAGAGTCTCTCATGGTTTGCCTCTCTCCCTTTCCCCCACCATTTCCGCCCTTCTTCTCCCCCTTGTTCCTCCGTCAAGTTGCTCCTAATCCTCCTATACGTGCAAACATATGATATTTGTCCTTCTCTGCCTGACTTATTTCGCTCAGCATAACACCCTCAAGGTCCATCCATGTTGCTACACATGGCCAGATTTCATTGTTTCTCATTGCCATGTAGTATTCCATGGTATAGATAAACCACATCTTCTTGATCCATTCGTCCGTTGATGGACATTTAGGCTCTTTCCATGTTTTGGCTATTGTTGAGAGTGCTTCTATAAACATTGGGGTACATGTGCTAGTTCTAATGCCAATATGCAAAGAGTTCCCATTGGTATTCGCTGGTAATCTGCAAAAGCCTCCAGCATTTGAATACACACCATGGTTACTTTACTTTAAGCATTTTACTAGAAATTACTTCCAGGTTATACAGATTTTTCCAATTTATATTTTAGAACGCTCTTAAATACTGTCTTCCTGAATGTAAGAAACACAGTTCACAGGGAATTTTCATAATGCAGTCTGAATTTTGGAAAGCAGATCTTTATTTTCCAATCAGAAAAAATCTGACTACTTAGACTGAGATGAATCTTCTCTAAAAATAAATGATAATGATAATTATATATATGCATGTATGTACACATATCTACATGTATATATATACACATATGTATGTACATATATCTACATGTATCTACATGTATATATATACACATATATATGCATGTAAATATATTTAAACATATATACAAAAGTGTGAGAGGTGTATCTCTCACTGCTTAAAGAAAAAGGCCTGAGTAATGTCCTCAAATGTGGCATTTTTCTGTGTGCATATTGTAGAGTAATGAAGGCATTCGGAGTACAGCCATTAGACACTTTGGTGAATTGCTCAGGGACATGAATCAGTACACGTGGATGCTCAGTGATGTGGTTCTTGGAGGCTTGGTGCCCCTGATCTTGTTTTTGGAGGACACAGAGAAAAGTGTAGTTAAAGTAAGTCCTATTGATCTCGTTTTTTCCAAGTTTTGCAGAGAATCATAGTATTTTATGTAACATCAGAAAAACAGATCCTCAGTGACTTTTTTTTTCTGCTTCACAGGCATGTAAACACACATTAGCAATCTGTGCCTCAGAATTAAATTGGTCAATGTCTTATCTACTAAAAGATGAATATTACAATTTTGAGCTGGTGGTGCTCAACCTCTGTAACAATCTTGTAAGTAACTCCTCAGTGTTTACTCTCTTAGGAGTTCTAGAAATAACTTGAAAGGAGGCCCAAAGTGATGAAAGGTGTGGCAGAGACAAGAGTGGACCCTGGAGAAGGAATGTGAAGGAAAGATAACACATGAATAGTTACAAACTAGGGCTTAAGACCAGGGAAAAAAATCATATTTTTCGCTTCTTCCCCAACATTGATCATCTCGGATTATCTTTCTCCAACCCACCCACTTTGAGCTACAGATGGTGATAAAGGTAGGAACAGCATTTCAGATCACCAGATGCCAAACTGGAGTTACTTTGCCATCATCTTAATGAGCTGGTGCTCTGAAAACCAGCATGAATTACAGCAATAGCCAAGTGGGGCTGGAAGAATGCTATGCAAAGGTTGGAAACACAAAGGTGGGCTTGGGAATCATATAACAAACTGAATAACACCTACAAACAAAAGAGTAAAGCGTATACATAGAAATCGCCAAGGTTTAAGTTTGTCCTGATTTGTTATAAGCAACCAATCTCTTTTTTTCTAGAAGCCTCTCTAGAGGGAGCAAATGTGCTTTTTCCAATGATTCTTTTTCCCCCTCATTTTATTTTCAGCTTGTTTCTCATGAGAACTACATTACAGATTTGATATCTGATACCTTGGGTTTCCTGAGAAGCTCCCGAATATATTTGAGGAAAGCATCAATTATTTTAATTGGTAAATAAAATTCAATTCTCATTTTTTAAATTTGCCTTACAAGGTACAGAATGGGGTAGCAGCTGGCAGTCTGTCTTAAAATAATACAAATTTTCTTTGTCTATGAGGGACCACACTGACATGGTGGTATCTATGAGTTGAAGTTATATATGTGATGAGAATAAAAAAGGAAAACAAATTTTAAAAAATGTTTCTACAGACCAGATAAAAACCATGATATATATTTCTGTAAATCCAAAACTTTTTTATGTAAAGATCTAAGGTATAATATAAACACATGGGCACTATATGATGGGATAAAGGAAAAAACCAGCTTTCAAAGTATGGGAGGAAAGCGTAAGAAAAAAACATATAACCATTAGTACACTATAACCAGCAGAAGAGAAAATATATATTCTTGATAACCCAGTAGGGAAGCAACAACAGGTACAGGGTTGAGAAATGCTAGCAAAGGGAATAAAAACCAGTAAGAAAGAGTTTGAAAATAAGGGACAATGAGAGATCTAGAAGATACATTAAAGAAATGCAAATATGCATAAATGATATCCCTGAAGAAGACACATGATTAGGGGCGCCTCAGTGGCTCAATCAGCTAAGTGTCCAACTTCCACTCAGGTCATGTTCTCATGGCTTGTGAGTTTGAGTCCTTTGCTGACAGCTCAAAGACTGAAGCCTGGAGCCTGCTTCAGACTCTGTGTCTCCCTCTCTCTCTGCCCCTCCCCTGCTCTTTCTCTCTCTCTCAAAAATTAATAAGCATTAAAAAATTAAAAATTTTTAAAAAAGAAAAATGATTAGAGCAAAAAGGTATTCATCCAAAAGGATAATTTAAGGAACTCTTGGGTGGCTCAATCCGTTAAGCATCCAACTCTTGGTTTTGGCTGGAGTCATGATCTCATGGTTTTGTAACTTCAAGCCCCACATCAGTCTCTGCCTTGACAGTGCATAGCCTGCTTGGGATTCTCTCTCTCTTCCTCTGTCTCTGCCCCTCCACTGCTCATGCCTCTGTCTCTCTCAAAATAAATAAACTTTTTAAAAAAAAGGTATAATTTAAGAAATAAAAGACTTGGTTAAATAAACTGAGGTTAAATAAAATGTTTTTCCAGAAATATTTTATACAGAATGCAACATTAAGACATTTCCTAATAAAGTTATGGAACTTCACAGTTAAAGAATTCTTGGACCATTTAGGGAGAAAAAAAGTCATCCAGAAAGTAATAAACTACGTAAATATGGCCTTAGATTTCTCCATGTCAGTATTCAACCCTAAAATATAGTAGAATTGTGCCCACAAAATTCTATGTAGAATGAAAAGAGGGAAGAAAAGAAAAAGAATAAGAATCTCAGGGGTAGGATGGGAGATGAGTGAGGGAGGAAGGAATGAAAGAAATATGGACAGATGAACGGAAGAAAGGGAGATGGAAAAAGAAACTTTACAATGTATGTAATATTTCTATGGAAAAAAAAAAAAAAAAACCCTTACGGGACGTCTGGGTGGCTCAATCAGTTGAGCGTCCGACTTCGGCTCAGGTCAAGATCTCTCATGTTCATGGGTTTGAGCCCCGCGTCAGGCTCTCTGCTGACAGCTCAGAGCCTAGAGCCTGTCTTCGGATTCTGTGTCTCCCTCTTTCTTTGACCCTCCCCTGCTCGCACTCTCTCTCTTTCAAAAATAAATTTAAAAAATTTTTTAAAAATTTTTAAAAAGAAAAAAAAAAACCTTGCAAGTATTACTGAAAATACAAAGAAAATTTGAATAAATAGATATAAACCATATTTTGGGGAAAAAGAGAATCAAATTTTAAAATGTGCCAATTCTGGGGCGCCTGGGTGGCTCAGTCCATTAAGCATCCAACTCTTGATTTCAGTTCAGTTCATGATCTCAGAGTTGTGAATTCAAGCCTCACACTGGACTCCACAGGGCCTGCTTGGGATTCTCTCTCTCCCTCTCTCCCTGGCCCTCCCTCTCTCTGTAAATAAATAAATAAACTTAAAAAATATATATAAAATAAAATGTGCCAGTTCTCTCCTAAATGGATCTATGAGTGGAATGAAATGTCAGTAGGGCCTTCTTTTTTCAAAACTGACATGTTGATTCTAAAAATAATGTGGGAAAGTTAGGATATAAGAATATCCAGGAGATTCTGACCAAAAGAAAAAAAAGATGGGGCGGGGACTAGCTCTGTCAGATATTAATATATCTATAGTACTTAAAATCACACAGAATAAATAGACAAACAAATAGAACAAAATAACATCCAGAAATAACTATCAAAATTTGCAGTATTTTAAAGTGAATCATTGCCTTTAACTAACAGTGATGAGAATATAGAATCCTCCTTAAATAGCTTGGGGACACCTTGTGAACCATCTGGAATTTCAAAAATTATTTTATTCCTAGCTCACTCCTTACTTCAAATAAATTCCAGATAGTCAAAGGGCTCAAATGTTAAATATGAAACCATAATGATAAATAAAATTAGTTAGAATAGTATGGAAAAAATTGTTGTATAGTCATGGGGTAGATAAGACCTTTCTAAAGTAAAGGTCAAAATCTAGGAACCCTAAGGAAAATACTGATAAACTGTGAAAAAGAGTAAACATTTCTGCAGGGCAAAACCACTATAAAGAGTCAGAAACCAAATTGAGATGATACCACAAACGAATCACCGAAGGTTCTTTATAAATTCTTAAGAAAAAACAACCCATTAGAAAAATGGACATTAGGGACACCTGGGTGTCTCAGTCAGGTTAAGCATCTGACTTTGGCGTAGGTCATGATCTTGCAGTTTGTGGGTTCATACCTGGCATCAGGTTCTGGGCTGACAACTCAGAGCCTGGAGCCTGTTTTAGATTCTCTCTCTCTCTCTCTCTCTCTCTCTCTCTACCCCTCCCCCACTCATGCTCTGTCTCTCTCTCTCTCTCAAAAATGAATAAACATTTAAAAAATTATAAAATAATATTTTAAAAAATGAACATTAAACATGAAAAACATCATTTGGCTCATAAACATGAAATTTTTATAACTTTAACCAAAACATGATGCATATTGAAAGGATGAAACATTTCTATCAATCAAATTGACAAAGATCAAAAAGTTTTATGCTAGACAGTGTCTGCGAGGTTGCAGGAAGTAGACAATCACTATTCGTTACTGGTGAGAAGGTAAAATTGCTACCATCTCTAAGAAGAGCAATCTGGTAGTATCCATCGAAATGTGACAGGTATGATCTTTTGACTCCTTCTCCTCACAGGAGGATTTATTCTCTGATAGACTCACACGTGAGCAATGTGTATATGGATATTCACTGCATCGCTGGCTTTGTAATGCCATCCATCGATGTCATATGACATCTCTCTCCATTTGTGCTTTCCGATTACCTTCAGCCATTTCAACTGTGTTACACCGAGGATGAAACAAAAAAGAACAGGGCAAAATCAACTTTTTATTGCTGGGTCAGCCCAGTTTTACAAAGCTTTCTTCAAAGTGTCAACCGGTAGTTGACCTTACACCCCCAGTGACCAGAACGGCCATTGTGTTTTTCAAATCATTAGTTACAAGACATGCTTGGAATTATGTGTGTGGGCGTTTTTTTCTTACTGGGCAAGAAGAGGACAATGATGTCACTTGGCAACTAGCAGGGGGTAACAACTGCCGACGTTTAGAATTTGAGAGTTTTCTCATGAGTGTCTAGATTTCCGATTATTTGAAGGGTGGAGGAAGGAAAGATGGAGGCCACGCTGAACCTGCACTTCTGCCTGGTAGGAAACTGAGTGGAGTGAACAGGTTCCCGTTCCGTGGATGGAGCTTGTACTCCCTATCCTCTGCCTTCCTTCCCAAGCTGAGATCACACTCTTGTGGGTCCTGTTGGCAAACATCAATCCTCCATGTTTGTCAAATCCTCAAATTCTGCTTCAACCTTCATTTGTGACTTTCACAATGCCATGTAATGTGCGAAGTGTGAGAACACCGGCACCAGATTTTCTATTGTTCTAAGTGTCTCCTCATGAAGTTTCCTACATTAGGTCTAAGATGTTTGCTCCAGCTCCTGCCATCACTACTTTTTTCTTTTCAGAGAGAGAGAGTAGGGGATGGACAGAAGGGGAGAGAGAGAAAATCTTAAGTTGGCTTCATGTTTAGCCCAGAACCCAGTGAGGGGCTTGAATCCATGACCCTGGGATCATGACTGGAGCCAAAATCAATATTTTGATGCTCAACCGACTGAGCCACCCAGGTGCCCCCTACATGACAGTCAACTGGAAAGGAAAAAAATATCAAGAAGTCACACCCACCTCATTAAAAAGCAAATAACACTTCTGCTAAATGATTATTAGCCCAGAACACAGACATGTTGCCACACAAGAGGCAAAGATGTCTTGAAAATCTAGATTTCTGCTGGGCATCCATATATCCAGCTAAAACTAGAGGAAAGAAAGAATTTAACGTTGGGAGAAATCAGTGCTCTCTGGCACAGGGAAGTTTCATTCATCTGGTGGTATTCTGCATCTAACGGATTATAAAATAAAGCAGATAGAAAAGCATGTCAATTAAGGGTACCCCACAACATATATTTTTGTTTCAAGCATTATTCTTAATTGCTTAAGCCCATGCTCCCCCTGCCAAGAAGAGTAGCTTGAACTTTATGATCTGAGTTATGAAAATGATCAATTGTTGTGATTTTTGTGATTACTGTTTCGACTGCAGCAGAGGCAATATGAAATATTGGTGGAGGTTAGATCAGCTCACATTCACATCTCAGAACGAATGCCCATTAGCCATGTGACCTTCACCAAGTTAACTCAATCTGTGAGGGCTTCAGTTTTATCATTTGGAAGATGAGGATAACAAAAGCAGCTTCAAAAAACTATCTGAAGCTTTAAAACCTATCTGAAGATATTTAAGAGCTTTTATAAATGCAGTGATCCAGACAGAAGAATAGCACACCAAAAGTAGACCTGATATTTGGGGATTATTTTCCTTTTTAGGTTTTGCAATTCTCAATGCA